GTCCTACCTCAGACACCCTACCTCAGAGCACACTCAGTGACTGGAGGCCAAAGGTGCAGATCAGCCTCCTCGCAGGCCCACCGCCTGTTCCCACGTGGCTTCAAAGACGCCTAAACCCTGGCTGGGTGCGGTGGCTGGCAATGGAACCATAGGCTGGCCTGCCGTGGGCTGACTGAGGTTGAGGGGTGTCAGCCTCCCCATGATGGTGGCAGAAATCTCCCGGGAGTTGCTGTGGGTTTGCAGGAGGGCCCCAGGGTGCCCTGGGCACAGTTTGGAATGTGGCACTGTTTCGCTAGTCGCAGTCACGGGAAAGAGCCCAGCAGATCCTGATGTGCCCATTTTGGGTGAGGCGCCGGGGAGAGACAGCAGCGAGACCGCCTGCACCGGGCTGGCCCTTCCGTCCACTCTCTGGCCATTCTGCGCCCACCCTGGCAGGCACAGGGGCACCCACGGTCTTCCTCTGTGGAGCTCAGCACCCAGCAGCCCGTGACTCAGACGTTTATTTATTTATTATTTATTTTTAGACTAATGGGAACAGCCTGGATTCTTTCTTGGTCTTCCAAGAGCAAATGCCTTTGATGCCTGATCTGGAAAGAATGGCGTTTCGGAACGTGGAACGAGTGTTTTACCTGACTGAGCGCTCTTGGCACGGCTGGGACCCACACACATGCTCGGAAGCCACTTATCCAGAGCTTGGGTTTCACGTCTGAATTTTGGGGGCGGCTCCCGGCTGTGCGGGTCACTCCCAGCAGTGCCGGGCGACCAGCAGGGCCCCCGTCTGGTCTGACTGCATTTCCTCAGGCACTGGCCGAGCTGTGACAGGAGCATTAGCAGGGCTAAGTAAAGCTCCCAGTCAGTGCAGGGTCCTGAGTCTCAAACACTCGGCCATTCATTCATTCATCCATTCATTCTCCCTGGCCTTCCCTCTGACTCTTGTCCCCGGAAGCCGACCTCATAGGAGGCGAGTGGAGGCGAGTCATTGGCTGGGCAGGAGCTCAGGAAGTTTCCTCCTGGCCCCCAGCTAGCAACTCGCCCTCGGGCACCCCCAGGACAGGCCCTCCCTGCCCCGAGCCCTTTGCTGAGCTCCTGCTGCTGGACATGACGTCGGGACAGTACCAAACAGTGACACATCACGGCTGAAACATCGGTCTGTTGGGGGCTGGGAGGGGATGACTCAGCCAGCCCCGGTGTGACCCCGTGTGTGGGACGCCCAGGCTCTGTCTCCAACACCAGAGGGCCCCTCAGTGCCAGAAGCCGCTAAGGACCACCAGGTGTGGCCTCGGACCGAGGGACAGATATGCAGATGACCAGGACAGGCGGGTGACCAGGGGACATACGAATGACCAAGGGACAGACACACAGAGGGTCGAGGGACAGGCGGATGACCGAGGGACAGACACACCAGTAACCAGGGCCAGATGTGGATGCCCAGGGCCAGACACCTGGACATTAAGTGGCTGTAGGGTGTCCCCACCACCCATCAGGTCCATAAAACCCCCACGGGGCAACCTTTGCAAACCAAAGGGAATTTCCACTGTGAGGGGGAAAAATAGCAGCTCGTGGGAATGAACTCAGCAAACAGTGCTCTGAGAAGTTCTAGTCTGGTGGTGCTAACTTAGGGTCCTGATCAGCGGATAGTGTCCAGGCAGGGCCGGGCAGCCGTGCTGGTGTCCCCAGTCTCCTGCACACGGGTATCTGCTCCGCATGGAATGGATGCGGCCACGACCTCTTCTCCTGTGGCTGGATCTCATGGCTGTGGTCCCCTTGGCAGAGCCAGCACCCACAGCAATGGGACAGCGACATGGACTGTGCCCGGGGCCAGTACCAGCATCTCTGGAAGTGGGGGCAGTCCTTATCCCCGGTTCTGCTGGTCATAAAGGGCAAGCAGTGGCCAGTCCCATCCCAGGGTCCCCAGCTCCCCCGGTTCCCACACCCAAGCACAAGCTTCCTGCACTCCCTCCAAGGAACCAGAGGGACCGCAAAGCGTCTCTAAGACGCTTCCAGTGGGGTGTGGTGGACGAGCTGCAGGTGACGTGATGTGGTGTAGATGGCCAGGCACTGTGTCCAAGGTCCCTGGCCTGTTCCTGGCACCTGGGGCCCCCAGCTCCAATGCGGTGATGAGAAAGGAAACAAGCTCAGTGGTACTTAAAGTAAGTGGGCTTTGCTTGCTGTCCGTGCCCACGTGGGACACCACCGAAGCCCGTGTCATGGCACACAAAGCTGTGAGCTTCCGGGACAGCCAGTCAGGGCTCAGGCGCTCAGCTCTGGGTGCCTGAGGGTTGCTCTGTATGTACAGGTGTCTGTGCATGTCTACTTGTTCACGTATGCTGCTGCGTGTGCCTGCATGTGTGTGTAAGGGGTCACAGTCATGCTACCTCACCCCCCGCTGGAGATGCTGGTGAGGAAACTCATAAAACTTCCTCTTGGGGGTCCCGGTTCCCCAGTGGGTAAGAACAGATCACGGAGACAGGTCCATGGGGAGGGCACGGGGCGAGGCCTACAGAGACGGGTCCACAGGAGGGCACGGGGTGACAGCCCACAGACAGGTCCACAGGAGGGCATGGGGCGAGGGCTACAGACGGGTCCATGGGAGGGCACGGGGCGAGGGGCCACATCAGTCTTCATGGCTGTGGCAGCTTCTGTCCACCTGGGGGTGGGGGGACCAGGCACTGAGCCCCTCCAGGGAGCAAACAGAAGACAGCAAGGGGAGAAGGGGGGCTGCTGTCTCCACACGGGGGTGAGGGAGGTCTGCGGCTCAGAGAGGTTCCTGTCTGGGAGCCACCACCTCGGGGAGACCTTGGTACTCCGGGGTTCCACTGCAGACACTGACTGAGGGGTACGGCCAGGCCCTCCGTGTGTGGCTGGGAGCCTTGCATTCTGCCCTGTGAGGCGCCAGCACAGATGGCCCGACCCCCAAACTGGCCTTGAGATCAGTCCCAAGGCAGTCAGGCATCCATGTGTCCCCCGGGTCTCTGCAGACCAGGAAGGGGGTGCAGGGAGAACAGGGAGGTGAGCACGAGACCTACCCCGTTCCCAGCCGTGGTGGAACCTGCCACGAGGCTCAGAAAGGTGGGAAGTGGGAGCGGGGGGCAGAAGGGCTGGTTCTGGTCCCTCTCCTGGGGATGCCAGTGCACACACCCACACCCACACCCACACCGTGTGTACACGCCATGCACTACATCTGCACACACGTGCACATGCATACACACATGCAGATGCACATCTATAACATGCTTCCCTCAGACATGTCACACATGCATGTCTTCCTGTCACATCCACTGTGTCTGCACACACATACACACACACACACACACAAGAATCTGTAACATGAGTTCCTCACAGCTATGTGTCACACATGGATCCATTTCCTCCTGCCTCATCCACCGCGTCTGTACACACATGCACACACATACACACGGACACGCATCTGTAACATGTGTCCCTCACAGCAATGTGTCGCATGTGGGTCCATGTCCTCCTGCCCCATCCACGGCATCTGCACACACGTGCGCGCATACACACACACACGGACATGCACCTGCTGCACCCTCTCCCCTCACAGACATGTGCCCTGCATGCCCCTGCCCTGCCCGGCGGGAAAGTTGGGCCTGGGAGCATTTGCATTCTCTCTGCCCAGGCTTTGGAGACAGGGTGACGGGCCGAGAGAAGCTCAAGGTCCAGCTCTCTCGGCGTCTTTCAAATGTCCATGTCTGATTTTAACCTCGAAGGGACGATGAGAAGTTCTGTTGTGAGCAGTCTGACCGCCGCCCGAGGCCCAGTGCGGGTGGGGCCGACGGGGCCCCTGCAGGAGTGATGCGGAGCAAGGCTCCCCTCACACCCCGCTGTAAATCATTACTGCAGAGCACGGACTCAGCCCAACTCCAGCCGAGTGTTTCTTCACAGCCCCAACTTCCCAGAAGAAAATATTAGCTCTGTGGGTGTCAGAGGAGGGAAGCGGGGAGACTCGTGCAGCTTGACCTTTCACCGCGAAATTCCATTTCTCCCACGATGATGAGGGCGAGTGTGTGTGTATGTGTGTGTGTGTGTGTGTGTGTGTATGTGTGTGGAAAGTTACAAACTGCTGCCTACAAATTCTGATCTCGTTTATACTACAGATGTAAACAATTGGTTAACATTTAAAACGTTCAAAAACATGGGGGAGGATGGAAACATCAGGGCAGGCTACAGTGCTGGAATTGGGGCCCATGGGGATGACACCACAGGGAGCTGGGTCCATGGAGGTGACATCACAGGGGAGTAGGTCTCATGGGAATGATGTCACAGGGAGCTGGGTCCATGGGGGTGACATCACAGGGGAGTTGGTCTCATGGGGAAGACGTCACAGGGACCTGGGCCCATGGGGATGATGTCACAGGGGAGCTGGGTCCCCTGGGGATGATGTCACTTGGCTGGACCCAGGTGCCGCTATTTGAGGTGACATGATGATAGCTAGCATCTCGGTGATCCAAGGGAGCTACAGGCAGCCCTGGAAGTTGGACCCCTGGCCCTGCCCTGCTCAGCGCCCAGAGAAGCAGGGAATGAGGGCTCAGCGTGAACAGTGGCCAGGGGAGTCGGGGGAGGGGGCGGGGCACAGGCGTTCCTGCTCAGAAGCTGACCTGGACAGCTCTCCGGCTCGCTATGAGCAGAGAAGGGTCTGCTGGCAAGAAAGCGAGCTGAGAATCAGTGGCATTACAGACATCCAAAGGACAATGAGGTGAACACGAGAGGGTTCTGTGGGCGCCAGTTAGCAGAGCTGACGGGCAAAGGGGTATGACGGAGGAGGAGAGAGAAGGGAGACACAAAGGGAGAAGGCAGAGGCAACCGTAGCCATTGCACTGTGAGGGGTAAGTCACCAAAGACAGCACCGTTCCGGGGCTCAGGACAGGCAGAGGTCTGGCGCTGGCCTCGCCGGCCACTGCCTTGGGCCCCCCACGGTTCCCCGAACCCATCAGGAGTGACCATGAGTGCAGAGCTGGGACTGAGCCCCGCCTCCCCCACAGCTGGAGAGCTACATCCAGGCCAGCGTGAAGAAGGAGATGGTGGAGATGCAGCAGCACGCCGTGCACAACCAGACAGCCGCCATGCTGGAAATTGGCACCCACTTGCTCAACCAGACGGCCGCGCAGACGCGCAAGCTCACTGACGTCGAGGCGCAGGTGAGTGGCCCTGCACCTGTGTGCCCATGGGCACATGCAGTGCCCATGAAAGGAGGCAGCACCCATGCAGGCTTGCAAGCCCCGGGAATGCTCACGGCCACGCTCTGAGACAGAGACTGCTCAGGTCAGGATGGCCAACGGTGAGCTCCCCGTCTGCACGGCGACCGGCCCGAGCCACGGAACCACTCTTTCTGTCTGGCTCCTTCTGAGCACGGGGGTCAGAGACCCTGGGGTGGACAGATGCCCTGGCACTAGGGGATGCTGAGGGCACAGAGCCCCATTGAGGGGCGTGGGCGGGGGGACAGTGGAGCTGCTCTGAGCTGGCGAGGATGGGACAGGGATACTTCGCATAGTGGGGAACGTGGCCAACAGCTGTGAAAGGCACTTCCGAGCCTGGCCTGTAGCTCTAAGGCTGGGGGTAGTGTGGATGCGACTCCGAGCACGACTGTTCCTGACTGTGCCCCCATGATGACTGTGGGCGATTTCCAGCATAGTTGGAAGAGCCCGGGCCGGGGCGCCAGAGAGAAGGGAGGGCGAGTCACAAGGCCGGGGGCGGGGGGGTGGGGTGGGCACAGTGGCAGGGCCTGGCGTGGCCGTGCCCCACCTGCCCTGGCAAGGCTGACCGGAGGGAAGTGCAGTTTCCCCAGCAGATCACAGGGGCCGGAGCACCAGGGCCACGACAGAGGAAAAGATGAAAGGCCAAGCACACCCACCATTACCCACCCGAGTCTGTGGCCTGACAGGGTGCCCGGAGAGCCGGGGCAGTCCCTGCCGTTGGCCGTCAGAGAAGGGTCAGGAGGCAGTGTGGGCGCAGGGGCCATGGCTCCCCCCAGCCCGTGCCCGAGAGTTGCACCCCCTTGCAGCCCCTTTCCATGGTGTGCACTGGCTGGGGCAGGCTGCCCACCCACCCCAGGAGGGCCTGTGGGCCCGCTGCCCACACAGAGACAGCAAGTCTCAGGAGGGGGCCCGGGCCCCTTCCCGGGAACAATCCCCGTGGCCCTGACATCACCTCCGGAGCGGACAGAGGATGTGAGTAACGGTTCTTCCTGCACGGGGCCGGGGTGACCTCACACAAAGGGACAATGACCCCATAGCGCATGCCATGGGCCCCCGCCGAGCCCCCGGCCAGGCCCCCGCCAAGCCCCCACCTAGCCAGCCCCAAGCAGGTCGTGCTTCTGTAGCTTCCGCTGTGTCAGTTGTGAAGCTTCTCAAAATAGGAAAAAGGAAGATGGACGAGAAAAACAGGGGCCACGTGAGGACTGGGTGGGCTTAGGCAGCATCATCTGGGAGCTGATGGAAGAAACTTTGCTTGCCCAAGCAGCAAGAGCCTGTGTCTAACACCATCCTCAATCCTTCCGATCCCCAACCGACATCTGACAGGATCCTTCTGGACGCCCCATCCCTCTGTGGCATGGAAACATCCTTTCCCTGGTTGACCAGAGTCACTCCAGGCTCCTTAGACCCATTTCCCAACAGGCACAGACGGACGTCCCACACTCGGACAGGGCCCTGGGGACTGCAGCTTCTCTGGGGACTGGCAAGGGCCCATGCTTGGCAGAGGGAACGTGTTTCCTCTGTGTTTGCCCAGATCTCTGAGGGCGCAACTAGGAGGGCGTCCCGACCAATGCAAAAATGTGATGAACAGAGTTTCTGCTTTGTTGGCTTTAGGTATTAAATCAGACCACAAGACTCGAGCTCCAACTTCTAGAACATTCCCTGTCTACCAACAAACTGGAAAAACAGATTTTGGATCAGACCAGTGAAATCAACAAGCTGCAGGATAAGAACAGGTAACAGGGTACTTCAGAGATGGGAACGGGGACCCTGAAACAGCACACGGCTCCCCTCAGCATCTCCCCCCACTGTGTACACACGCAGCACTCCACGCACACACCTGTGTACACACGCAGCACACTGCACACACACGCCTGTGTACACAGGCAGCACACTGCAGACATCCATGTACACACGCAGCACTGCACACACACAGCACTGTATGCACACACCCGTGTACATACGCAGCACACTGCACATATACCCATGTACACACAGCACTCTACAAGCACACGCTTGTGTACATACACCACCACTCTGCATGCACATGCCTGTGTACACACACACACAGCATTCTGCACACACCTGCCTGAGTATACACACAGCACTCTGCACACACACAAACACATAGGTCTCTGGTGCTGCCTCAGCAGGCTGTGCCAGCCTCCAGCCCCGGGCAGCTCCCTGGCACCCCATGTCCCTGGGTCGAGGAGCTGGGGTCCTCCTGAGATCTGACCGTCCATCCCCACCGCAGCGTCCTGGAGCGGAAGGTGCTGGACATGGAGGGCCAGCACGTGCTGCAGCTGCGCTCCCTGCGGGAGGAGAAGGACCAGCTGCAGGTGCTGCTGTCCAAACAGAGCTCCGTCATTGAGGCGCTAGAGAAGCAGCTGGCCAGTGCCACGGTCAACAGCTCCGTGCTGCAGAAGCAGCAGCACCACCTCATGGACACAGTGCACGGGCTGCTGGCCATGCTGTCCACTGCTGCTCGTGAGTGTCTGCTGCCCGCAGGAGGTGCCTCCTCCTGGCCACAGCGCTGAGGGCTCAGGAGAGCCCAGGGGGTGGGAAGGAAGAATGGGGTGGGGAGGAGGGATGGGGTCTGGGGAGGAAGACAGGGTGAGGAGCAGGGATGGAGGGGAAGGGCCAGGGTGAGGAGTTGGGGTGAGGAAGAGGAACAGGGTGTAGGGAGGAGGACCAGGGTAGGAGGAGGGATGGGTTGGGGAGGAGGGCTGGGTGGAGAGGAGTCAGGGGGTGAGGAGGGCTGAGGCTGTGCCCTCACGCGCTCCCTTGGCCGGCAGCTAAGAACACCCTCGTGGCTAAGGAGCCCCCTGCCACGTTCAGCGACTGTGCCCAGGTGCTGAAGTCGGGGCTCACGGCCAGCGGCGTCTACACACTCACCTTCCCCAACTCCTCCCGGGAGCTCAAGGTGCCGGCGGGCAGGGAGGGCCGGGCACCACCGTGGGCAGTCTGGGAGGAGCCCCCGTGGCTGACTGCCAGCTGCCCCGCAGGCCTACTGCGACATGGACACGGGCGGAGGGGGCTGGACCGTCATCCAGAGGCGCCAAGACGGCAGCGTGGACTTCCAGAGGACATGGGCGGAGTACAAAGAGGTGGGTGCCCTGCGCACGGGCCCATGAGGTGCCATCTTGGTGCCCAGATGGGTCCCCGAGCCCCACCAGGAGGGACCCCTGAGCACAGAGCCAGAAATCGGCCCCGAGAACCAGCCCCCCAACAGGTCCTCAGAACAGGGGAGGGCAGGGTCCCCACCATGCAGACGACTCTCCTGGGAGCAGACCCTCCCCCCAAGCAGACCCTGCCGGGGGCCCCGTCCAGCAGGGCAGCATGGCATGTCTGAGAGGTCTCGGCCCTGCGCCCTCCCCCTTCGCCCCTGCAGGGCTTTGGTGACCTGGAGGGTGAGCACTGGCTGGGGAACGAGTTCGTGGCCCAGGTGACCTCTCAGCGGCGGTTCCTGCTCCGGATCCAGCTGCAGGACTGGGAGGGGAACGAGGCCTACTCGCTCTACGAGCACTTCTACCTGGCCCAGGAGGAGCTCAACTACCGGTAAGGCTACGGGCCCTTGGGCAGCAGTCGTGCCTCACACATTCCCGGGGCATCGGCACTTAGCTGCAGGCAGTGGCCACTGCAGGGCACCCAGGCCCAGCTGGTCTCTCCACCCGCGGATCGGGGCCCTCGGGTTCTTCATCCCTCCTGAGAGGCTGAGGGCCACCCTGGGAATCTGTCTCCTGGCTGTGAGGGTGGGACAGACCCCAGGGTGCTGGGCAGGCCTGAGGGGGCCCAGGGCACCGGGTGCTGGGGGACACACTGGGCACAGGCTTCAGTTCTCCCAGAAGCCAGCCTCCAACATCTAAAGGCCTGGGGCCTGGGCTGGACTCGACCCCCAGGCACCTCCTGGGTGGCCTTCCAAGGGCGAAGGGCCCAAGAGTCGGGACCGAAGTGTCCGCCAGGACCCTTATGTGAGCACCCTCATCCTGTCCATGCAGGGCCTGACCCCTTCACTCTATCCACTCTGGCCCTGACCCCCTCGTCCCGTCCGCCCCAGACCCTGTGCCCAGTGGACAGAGCAGAGAAGCGCTGGGGGCCCCCTGCTGCAGAGACGAGCAGAACGGCTTTTAGACATGGGCTGTTTGCCACTGTTTTCCCTCCAACCTAAATATTTTTCCACCTGGCAATAGTCCGGACTCTACAGCAGAGGAATTAGACGAAGGAGGAAAGAAACACAAAAATTAAGAATTAGAGTATTTGTACAAGGAGACTTTACAAATGGCCCATATGTACACTGACATATGAAAATAGTCTAAACCGAGATGGCTTCTAACAGAGATGGCCCCGGGTGAGAGCAGCTCTTGGACGAGCCGCTTAAAGACACGCTGCCTTGCAGCTCTCTTGGACTGACTTGGCAGCCGGGGATGACTTCTTCATCCAAAGTTCTGACCCTAATAAAACAGGGTGTCACTGCGATAAGGACTGTGATGTGATAAAGCACAGGCAACCCCAGGGCTTCAAGGCGCTGACTGCACAGCCACGCAGAGGGGGGTTTCCCAAGGGAACAGCCCCTTGAGGCTGGAAAACAGAAAAACCCACATTCTGAGAGCTGGATCGGGAGGCTTTTCTGGTGGTGGCCCACCCGGCAGTGCTTGGGCAGATTCCTGGCTCTGTGTTCAGGGATTGGTCCTGGTGTGGCTCAGGAGGAAGGGATGGGATGCTGGATCCAACCTCTGGGATAGCCGCGGTTCCAGCCAGCACCCTGCCCACTGCGTGGCCTCTGGCCCGACGGTTCTTTTCATTGAAATGAGAAACACTTTGTACGTCACACCCTTACTGGGCCTTTTTCAACCTCCTTGCTGCCTCTGGGTGGGACTAAGGTGACTCTTGGCAGAGGTCACTGGTGCCAAAGGACAGCCTCGGTGGCTTCGGGCTCCTGTAGGACAGCCTGAGGCTTCGGGGCCCTGTAGGACAGCCTGAGGCTTCGGGGCCCTGTAGGACAGCCTGAGGCTTCGGGGCCCTGTAGCACAGTGAGCGGTTTTGGGCCATCCCATGCTGTTGTCACCTAAGGAGCCTCAATCCCTACAGGCCACAGGGCTGAGGGTCCAGCGACCAGGTGGCCGGCAGATAGCCCTTGCCTGCTCCCTCAGGAGACCCAATGGGCATCAGCTCTGTGGGGCCTCGCCCTGGGGTGGCAGGTGCCCCAGGGAGGGGGGTGGCAGCAGCCTCATGCTGTAGCGCTTCTGCTCCGGATTCCAGGCTCCCCCTCCGCCATGGTCCCTGTGCTCTAGCCCCACCTCCTCCCCGCCATCTGTCCACAAGCAGCAGAGAATCAAGTTCAGGCCCCGCAGGCTGTGCTGCCGCACTGGGGGTCCCAGAAACACCCCCCTTGGGTGCCGACTGTTTCCTGCTCACAGCTGTCCCGAGCGGGCAGGGCACATGTGCCTGGGGGGTGCTCCGGGCTGGAGTTCCTGTCCAGTGAGCCCCTCCTTGTCTCCCTCTTGCACGTGCCCAGGATCCACCTGCAGGGCCTCTCGGGCACGGCCGGCAAGCTCAGCAGCATCAGCCAGCCGGGAAACGACTTCAGCACCAAGGACGCCGACAACGACAAGTGCATCTGCAGGTGCTCCCAGATGCTCACTGGAGGTGGGTCTGAGGACGCCAAGCAGTGGCCTACTCAGAGGGTGCCCGGAGAGGGGGTCCTGGGCACAGACGAACAACAGCAGGGCCCAGTGCGCCTGGCTGAGTCCTGGGTGCAGTGAGGCAGAGACCGGCCCTGCTGTCACTCCTCCAGCAAAGAGAAGCGTGGGAAGGGCCACAGACATGCCTGCAAGCACAGAGGCCCTGGGTGGGGGCCACCAGCATGAGTGTGTCTAGCCTGGGCAGCAGAACAGACTGTGCCCCCAAGAGCCTCGTGTCCAGCCGTGCCCGGGGAACCGGCCCTGCACTGACCTGCTGTTGGGGAAAGGCACAGGGTGGGGCCTACCATGTGGTCACCTCTCTGCTGTGGGCGCGGGAGGCAGGAGCTGCCCTACCTGAGGGATCCATGTCACAGGCTCCCGCCCAGGGCAGCGTCCCCTCCCCCCTGAGGCGGCCCTGGGCGCCCCCTGCAGGGCCCAGCCCTGATGTCCACACCTGGCTCCACAGGCTGGTGGTTCGATGCCTGCGGCCCCTCCAACCTCAACGGCCTGTACTACCCGCAGAGGCAGAGCACCAGCAAATTCAACGGCATCAAGTGGTACTACTGGAAAGGCTCGGGCTACTCGCTCAAGGGCACCACCATGATGATCCGGCCCGCCGATTCCTGAGGGCGCACGACAGCCTCACCCCGATGCCCGGCCACTACCACAACCACCACAACACACACACACACACACACACACACACATGCACGCACGCACACGCACACACATGAACACACGTATGCACACACATACACATGCATACACACACACGCACACACAATGCATACATATGCACGCACATGCACACAGATGCATACACACGCACACACACCCATGCAAGCAAGCATGCAAGCATGCACGCATGGTGGGGCTCAGGGGAAGCCTCTGGGCCGGCTGGGTGGGCTGTGAAAGGGATAGACAGTGGTGGTGTCCTTTGGGGAGTAACTGGAAGGTGGCCGAGCCCTCAGTTGGGCTCAGTGCAGAGCCCGTTGTCCGTCCTCGGAGGCCAGTCACAGCACACCAAGGATGCGAAGCCACGGGGCCCTCTGGGGCGCTTCACCTCTGACCTTGGGGACGTTAGAGCTGGTCATGGCCACCCCTCCCGGGCACTCGTGGGTCCTGTGGCTGAGTCAGCTCAGACCCATCCCAGACAGACGCGACGGAACCTTCTGGTCTGGGCTCCGGGGCTGCCCCGCCCTCTGGTAGTGATTAAATATAACTTATTAGTGCGAGCTGACGCCTCTCTCACAGCACCAGGGGGGCCTCTCCCGCACCATCCACCCCGAGGCGGGGCCGGGGAGCTGCAGGCCAGAGCCCCGCACAGGAAAACCAAGACAAAAGAATCCATCCTGCTGCAGGGGCCAGGTGGACCCCAGGTGGGCACGGTGGGTCAGGCGGACGCTGGGCAGACAGGGGGACGGTGGACGCGGAGCGGATACAGGGGCCTGTACTTGCCTCGGCCCAGCACAGACTGTGGCAAGGCAGCTGACAGGGACCCAAAGCGCAGGAAGTTCCCACATGTTCCCCAGCGCGTCCCTACCACGCCCAAACCTGGCCTCTGCCTGCCAGGCCCCGAGCACACCTGCTGTCAGGTGGGAGCATGTGGGGCCAGGTCAGAGGTCACAGCCTCACCCCCTTGGCCCCATCCTCCTCGCTCATGTGAGCAGCACATGGTGGGTCTGCATGCACAGCGATGTGTATGCAAGCAACTGGGGACACACACAGGGATCTCGGGCACTCGGCACTGCATGGGCAACTCGGAACCGGGTGCTGTAGGACACCAGATGCTGTACAGGCTGGGACTGGAGGGCGCCCTCCCTACGGTCCTCTGACTCAGCCTTCACAGGCTGCGCCCCTCACTCCTGCCCTCTGCTGAGTCCTCATGGGAGCATCCGGCCCGGACACACAGGGCCTGTCAGCATCAGGCTGACCACACTTTCCCAGCACGCGAAAAAAGGGAAGAAAAGAAACCATCAGACTCACCGGCGCCGCGGGGAAGTGGCTGTGCAGCTCAAAAGGCTCCTCAGGGACCCAGTGGCCGGCCTCAAGAGACCACAGCACCTGCGGGCGGGAACGGGAAGGGCTGACATGGTGCTGTACATGGGCAGTCTGGGCACCAGGAGTGGCCCCACCCCTGCCTATGCCGAGAGTCCCTCCAGGTCCCGCAGAGTGGCCTCAGGCTCCCGAGACCCCCATTTCCCCACACCCCCCGAACTGCCCAGCTACAGCACAGGCTGGTCACTCCTCAGCTGGCTCAGGGGCGCCCATGCTGTGAAGGCCGGCAGGGTTGTCCGCTGGACACAAGAGTCGGCGCGTCTGTGTGAGGAGGGGTTGGGGAGGGGAAATGGCTTCCGGCAGGGCCGGCATCAGAAGTCAAAGAGGCACAGAGGGACGTGGTCATCCCAGAGCGTGGGGACAGGAGTGGACAGGACAGCAGATGGGGGTCGCAGCTGACCCAGAGTGCAGGGAGAGTGGACAGGACAGCAGATGGGGGATGCGGCCGTCCCCGAGTGGGGCTCCTGGACACTGTCGCAGAGAAGCGCAATGCTGCTGCTTGGAGGAGAGGGAGCACGGAGACAGTAGGGGCCGAGTCCCTTGTGGGTCTGGCCTACACAGAGCCCAGAGAGTGAGACCAGGGGGGGCCCACAGGGTAGCCTGCTGCCCAGAACTAACGTCGAACAGGGTTAAGTGTCGAGGACGGGAGCGAGGTGGCACGAGGCTGCGACAGCCATGCCCAGGAAAAGCCTCAGGAGGTGACGCCCAGCCTTCCGGGGCTGCTTATGGCCTTGGCATGAACAAGGAGTGAGTCAGACATGCTGGCAGAAAAGGGCCTGGAACTGCTGAGGATGCCGCAGCCCCACCCCCACAGCGGACAGTGAACGGCCAGAGTGGTCACCAAGAACCGGAGCACTGTGAGAAACCAGCCAGAAGTGGAATGAGACCAGGGCTCACCCAGCGCACCAATGTTCCTTCACACACACATGTGAACACGTGTGACCATGGAAAGACACACAGGGACACGGGGCAGCACGTGCACGGACATGCATTTGTGTGAGCGTACGTGAAAATGTGTGCATTTCCAAGTGTGAGTGCACAGCTGTGTGTGTGTTAAGTGGGCGTACACGTGAAAGTATGAACACATATGTATGAAAACGTGTGAAAGCATGAACACGTACATATGAACATGTGGGACTGTGCTGGGACATGTGAGCATGTATGCGTGCATGTGCTTGTCAGCCCAGGGACGGGTCAGAGGAAGCCCAGGCCAGCAGCTGCCCGGCGGTGCTCGGGTGGACCCGGGGAAGGTGGGGGCGGCAGTGCCGTGCTTAGCAGCCTCGGAAACTCAATCTTGTAAACTTTCCATTTTGGAGATTTCGAGAGGAACAGGAACGCTGCCCAGACTGGACGGGCAGTTCCCACTGCGCCCCACCTCCTGCCCCTCGTCAGTGCCCAGCTTGGCCCCAGGGAATTCCTGCCATCAGGCTGCTGGAACTCAGTTGGGCTTGGAGCAAATGGGAGCTGGCAATAGTGCAAAGGCCCCATGGTTCCGACTCCCTAACCCGCATCCTCAGTTTCCCCACAAGGCCCCATGGCTCTGACTCCCTGACCCACGTTGCCCTTGGTTCCCCGTGAGGGTTGGCGCTGTCCGGCACAGATCCTGCCGGTGAATGGGGTCCCCCTGCGGGTCTGTTCACGGTGCGCCCTCTGAGGCCTGGCTGAGCTCCTCACGTGAAAAGCAGACGCTGACTGAGGCTGGGGGTGGGGGATGGGGTGGACAGTCCTGTCTCCTGGGAAGAGGCAGATCCACGCCATCACTTTCCACGTTTGAGTCTGTAGTTCCCCCGCCCTGGGGGTTCCCAGACCCCAGGGCCAGCAGCAAGAGGGGCAGTGCCTGGGCTCCACATCAGGTGAGTGAGGCTACACTGACAGCCAAGTCCCCTCCCACCATCTGACGGAAGCGAGACACAAGTGACTCGTGTGTCCTCCAGAGACTCTCAGCACCACTCCCTGCTGGCCGGCTCCTTGTGGCTGACCAGCCCCTGGGCCCTGCTGTGCCCTCGGTCACCAGCCTGGTCTAGCTCATGCCTCTTTTTTTTTTAATAATAGCAATTGTTTATAGCTATGCTAATCACTTTGAAAAACAGATCCCAAGAGTTAATATGTTAATTCCCCTAACTATACCTAGAAGATTGATTCTAGTTTTACTAATAAGTAAACTCAGAGAATTGATATTGGTGACAGGGATGTAAAGAGACCGTCGATGAGGGGACTTTAAACAGATTCAGCCTCAGTGGAAAATAACGTTGTCTTTATTTAAAAGATTAAAAATAAAACCACCACGATCTGGTAATATATAGATAGACGTATGTAAAAGTATATGTTTACATATACTTTCATAGATACTGTATACTACATATAAATATATAGATAGATATGTGTTGAGCTATATAGGCCATATTGGTATTTTACTACATATGTCTGTGTTTAGAAATATATATCCCGGGGCTGGAGCAATAGCACAGCAGGTAAGGCGTTTGCCTTGCACGCAGCCGACCTAGGTTCGATTCCCAGCATCCCATATGGTCCCCCGAGCACCGCTAAGAGTAATTCCTGAGTGCATGAACCAGGTGTAACTCCTGTGCATCGCCGGGTGTGACCCAAAAAGCAAAAAAATAAAAAAATATATATCCCATGTGGTGATAGCACAGCACAGCGGTAGGGCGTTTGCCTTGCATGCAGCCAGCCCGGCCAAGCTGGGTTCGATTCCTCCGCTACTCTCGGAGAGCCCGGCAAGCTACGAAGAGTATCTCGTCCACACGGTAAAGCCTGGCAAGCTCCCCATGACGTATTCGATATGCCAAACACAGTAACAAGAAGTCTCAAAATGGAGACATTACTGGGCCCGCTCGAGCAAATCAATGAATAACGGGAGGACAGTGACAAACAGTGTGGTCCCCTGAGCACCACCAGGTGTGATCCCTGAGGGGCTGAAGTTACAGTACAGCGGCTGGGCATCTGCCTTGCACACGGCCACTTGGGTTTGGTCCCCACATCCCCTATGGTCTCCTGAGCACTGCCAGGAGGTTTCCTGAGTGCAGAGCTGGGAGAAACCTCTAAGCATTGCTGGGTGAGACCCCAAAAGACATAAAAAGGGGAAGAAGAGGGATTCTTGAGCACAGAGGTAGGAACAAGCCCTAAGAACCAGTGGGTATGGACCAAAACACAGAAAGAGAAAAAGAAAAAAATTGTGACAGACAACACAAGTGCTAACTGCAGCTGCTGCTCCTGATCGCTTTTCTCTCTTCCGTGATGTTCAGGATTCTGGAGTAAGTTGCTTCAAGTCTCCAGCTTGCTATTTCTAAGATCGTTTAGACAGGCCCTTTACATCAATGTGAGGTGATATCCTTACATCATCTCGACTCGTACTTCCCCCCTTGATCAGTGAATCTGAGCATTTCCCATGTTCCTAATGTCGATCCATTACTTGGATCAGAGCCGGGTGCTGGGACCCCTGACACCGGGCAGGCCCAGGGCCGAGGTGAGGGAGTGCCCGCCTCGCACTGGGTGAGTGAAGGAGTGAATGTTGGCGGCGAGAAGCGCCACCCCAGGCTCCACCCCAATCCTGCCCGGGCTCCCCAAGCTCCCGACACGAGAAAAAGAGACCAGAGAAAGGGCACAGCCCCCTTGGACATGCTGCAAAGTGGGGCGGGATGACCCAGCGCCTCACCACTGGCCAAGCATCTTTCTAAATAGCACGGTCCCAAGTTCTTTTATCAGAACAAACACAGAGTGACGAGGAACACATCCCAGCGGACTGAAATGAACCGCAGAAACACAGGGCTGGAGGCAAACAGTGGGGACGACCAGAGCCCCCCTGTGATAAAGGCTAAAACATGCTAAAACATGCTTTCCCCAAACAGAATTATCTCGACGACAAAGACAGACACGAAGCATGTGACCTTCATAACAGCGCACAGGGCTGGATCAGACACTCAGACTCGGCAGGGCCAAGAGGAAACGCCGGGGCTTGAACGTGGCCCCCTGCATGTCTGCAGGGACATCGGCTGTGCTGAGCGTCCCGGCTGCTCTGGGGCCAGACCATAGGCATCACAGAACCCGCCCAGCCCTGGGAAAAACTCAAGAGATGAGATGCAGGGCTGGGGAGGTGCTGGGGGCCCTGCGCCTGGCCCCTGCACCAGTGTCCCGTGTCTTCAGCTCCCGTACCCAGAGCCCTCCCTTTCAAGCCAGCCAGACTTCTGGGTTGACCCCAAGCTTCCAATTCCAGCAAGCCGGATCTGAGGGATGTCACTGCCAGAGAAATGACCCGACCCAGGGTTTCCGCCTTCTGAAGTGCCCCTTTGAGAGCTGTTGGGTGTGGCCCCTCCCCCTGCCTCCCTGCATTGAGCCATGGGCTGGACATCTCTGCATCTGTGACCTTCCTGCTCTTGGGACCATCAGGTTGACCCCTGCGGCCTCACGAGTCCTACCTTGCTGCTGCCAGAGGAGGCAGGGGCTCATGGCCGCCTGTCAGTGGCAGAAGGCAGTGGTGAGCAGGCAGGAGAACCACACACACATAAGAACACACAGCACATGCACCCACACACGCACATATATGCACCCACACATGTGTACGCACATGCACCCACATGTACCTGCACACACGCACATGCATATGTACCCATGCAACGCACAACACATGTGTACACACATGCACACCCCCCACATGCACCCAATACATATGCACACAGGAACACACACATGCATGCACATGTACCTGTATACACGCACACGCACACACACGATGCACACACGCACATGTGCACCTGTGTGCACACATGCATCTGCATACACACACATGCACACATGTACCTACGTGCACATGTGTGCACATGCGCGCACACATACACACATACACACACACACACAGAATGAGGGAGACCCAAAGGAAGCAGCAGCAAAGGCAGCAAACTTGTGTCTTGAGAGACGAGGCAGGGCGTCTCCAAGGGTGTCTGTGAGATACTGGCCTGCGTTTTTCTGTGGTAACTTCCTGCCGCCCTGAATAGGATGCGGGCGACTCCTGACACCGTTTGCTGTTTCTGAGGCTCTGCCGGATGGTTAGTGTGACGCAGCAAAGACATGAAGGGCTCCCCGTGGACACAGCCAGTGGGCACAGCCAGTGGGCATGGCCCAGCACCTGGGAATGGCCAATGTCCATGGCAAAGACTGCTGCAGCCCTGCTTGTTCTCGCCGTGACCCCAGTTCTGCTGCGCTGCGAGACTCTCCGTAGGAAAGTCCCAGATGCCGCACAAAGCCCGAAACAAAAACACGGCAGTGATGTTTGCCTTGGAGGCGAGCTGAGGCCATGGGCCAGGAGGGATATTTTAAGGATCTCCCAGATCCCGGGCAGGGCAGGACGGGCCCGAGAGCCCCTCCTCCCCACAGAGGAAACTCAGCAGGAGCCAGAGCCAGTCCACCCCAGAGCAGACACGGTCTGGGCACCCGCTTTTCTCAAAAGCCCTGTCTGAGCCAGGAGAGTGTTCAAGGGCGGAGCTCAGGCATGGCTTGCTCAAGGCCCAGAGTTGGAGCCTGACACCCCGGGGCCTGACCCTATAACCCTAGCAGTATACAAACCGGGGTAGGTCTCCCCACTGTCCATCCTAGTGTTAGGCTGAATTCTGTTAGAACAAGAGGGCTGCTTGCTCTCACTGTGGCACTGGAAGGCGGCTCTTCTTGGGGCCAAGTGGTGACCGTCTAGGGAGGGCCCTGCCTGCTCTCTCTGGGAACAGGGTGACACCTGCTGAGGTCTGATGGGCTGTGGAGACTCTGGCGGCTGATGCACGTGGCGTCCCTTCCACAGGGTGACCCAGACAAGGTGTCCCTCACTCAACACCACAGGAGGAATGCCTGAGCTCCTGGCCCAGGCCGAGCCAGCTAGGTGGCAGCTAGGCCACGCCTGGCTATGTGGGGTTCGGGGACACTGTTGTCAATGAGGTGTCCAGCTCCTGACGTGCAGCTGAGATCTGATCAGGGGCCGCGGAGCCATGTGGAGCGGTCCCGGGTCGTCACTTCCAGACTCTTGTGTGGAGGACTGTCTACATCACTGCTGAGTACCGAGAACCATGCTCTTGCCCACCGCCCTGAGTACTGAGGGCTGCACCCTCGCCCACTGCCTCTGAGTACTGAAGGCCTGGCTCTCCTCATGTCTTGGGGAGACTGTGGGTTCCCGTATGAACTTCCTGACTCGTGACTAATCTCCAGGTACTCATTCCGTCTCCAGAGGTCGTCCCTAAGAACCCATCTGCTTCTTCCTTCTCCGGCCTGCTGTTACTGAACTGTTCCTAGTAGCCTCTTGGAAACTTTTTGTATTTCTGAGGTGTCTGTTGTCATTTCTCCCCTTTCACTTTTTCATTCAAGTTATTTGGGTCTTCTTCTTGTCTTCCTAAGTCTAGTTAAGAGTCCGTCGATCTTATTTATCATTTCAAAAAAATAGCTCCTGATTTTACTTACCCTTTAAATAACTTTCCTGATTTCTGCCATTGATCTCTGCTCTAGTTTTTATTATTTCCTTGCCCTATTTTTAGACTCACACGTTGTTCTCCCTGCAGTGTCTCTAGCTGGAGGCGTGTTCTCCTGCCGGATGTGGCACCACCTTGCATGTCCCCTGCTGGTCTGTCTCACTCACCTTTGTTTCAGAGGACCATTTTATTTCTTCTTCATTTCCTCTTTGACCCAATGGCTGTCTGACAGGATGTTGCTCCATTTCCAAATGTTAGAGCTTTTCCCGTCTGTTTTCTTCTGCAGAAGTGGGGGTCGGACCTGGCAGTGCTGGGGCCACTCCTGCTTCTGTGTTGGGGTCACTTCCGGCAGTGCTCTGGGCTGTTGGTGGCGAAAGGGCCAGAACCTCGAGTTCTCTCTCTGGGTCTGTGCTTCTCGCTGTCCATTCTCTCTTCTGGGCAGGTGCCTGAGAAGGTACCGGCGGGGACTTCTACCTACGTGACTTCCTGTCACAACACGCCGTGCGCCCTGCATTCGGACGCTTGTCCTTTTGGCTGATGTTCAGTCCTGCTCCTGTGGTATCAGTATTCCCTCAGGCCCACACGCTGCCCCTTCGTATGTGCCCTGTATGGGTGAGTTAAGTCCACTTCCCTCCAGTTCTCCAGCCAGCACGAGAGCCTGCCACGGTCTGTCTCGCCACTTTCTCTCTTCCCTTAAACACCACACCACTTTGGGTGCTAAATCCAAGTGCGTCTTTCCTAAACCAAGGTCAAGAAGATTTTACCCTGCACCACATCTGAGGGGCTTGTCACGCATTTCTGGGATGGATCTGAGGCAGTGAGAAGACGCGGGTCCGAGGCAGAGCCCACAGGGCCGAAAACAGGCTCTGCAGGTGGGGGCTGGCTGCCAGCCCTAATCCCCAGCTCCTGCAGAGCATCGAGCTGTGAGCCGCCCCTGGGCACTGCCGAGGGAGGACCGGAACCAAAACTGAGAGGCAACAGCCACTACCCAGCTCTGGGGGACGTGAAGGTCGAAGACAGATGCAAGCATGGAGAGAGCCAGCTCCCACCTCCATGAATAATGCACACGGGCACGAAAACACACAGCCTGCCTAGGAACTGGGGCATAACGACGCAGATGCAAATGGGGGCCCAGAGAACAGTCCCGCCTTAAGTGAACCCATCTGTGGAAGCTGCCTGAGATGGCTCCTGCGCGGGCGGGGGGGACAGTGACCGGCCTCGAGAAGGTGACTTGGAGCTGTCCCCCACACTGTCTCCAACGCTTCCACCGCCGGCCCAGAGGTCGCAATCCTGGGGCCGTGGTGGAGGCAAAGGTTCCGAGGAGAAACGGGAAAGAAAAGAATGAGACACAAGTGAAGAGAGCCCAGGAGGGCACAGCCGGGCGGCGGGGTGGGCTTGGCCCTGGGCCAGAGATGCAGCAGGACAGCACCTGCGGGGGCCTTCCCCGCCCCCAGGAGAAACTCCAGCAGACTCACCCACTCCCAGGTCAGCACCCAGCAGCCGCGGGCCAGGCCCAGGAGCACACTGAGCGTGCGCAGGGGTGCGCCGGCCAGCACGTGGGTTGTGCAGTCACTCACTTCCTGTGCCACGGAGAAGCCCTGCAGCTTGTCCAGCACCTGGGTGACAAGGTTCCGCTCCCTGGAGACAGGAGCAGGCAGTGAGTGGGCATAGTTGGGGGACAGTGACGGCCATGACAGCTACTGGGCACAGTGCTAGGGGAGAGCACTGTCCCGTCATGCCAGGCAGACACAGACGCCAGGCACGGCGCTGGCTGGGTGGCTGGAAAGGCCGGGCTGAGGACCGAGGGGCTGGCTGCCCAGCCCACCTGCCCGCCCAACCGTCTGCTCTGGCTCCCCGACTCAGATAGGACTCCAGGGGGGCCGGGGCCACCGGTGCGGATGTCTGCCCAAGGCCTGAGCCTCAACCCCTGGGAGAGAAAGGGACAGCGAGGGGTTCAGGTCCTGCCCAGGGCACAGTGGTACTAGTGGGTAGCTGCGAACATTGGCCAGCGCCCTCAGGACTGACGGATGGGGGCTGAGCCAAGGGGGGCCCAAGAGTGTGAGGACTGGGCCCTTCAGACCCTTCACACCTTGTATGTGGTATCCCTGGGGCCAGATGCCCCCCCACTCCTTTCACTGTCGGGCCCTATACTCACTCGGATGGCAGGCTTGTCATCACCAGCGTGCGCGTGGACTGCAAAAGAGAAGGCACGAAAACCAGTGAGAAGCACGAGAAGGCGGCCCACAGAAACATGCTGCTCACAGTCTCTGCAAAGCCGCATGCCGTTGCAAGACACCCAAATGCACACCCCCAAGGCTGTGAGCCTGGCCAGGCGGACACAGGTGCCCGGCCCCTCAGGCACGGGCAGGATCCTGGGAGGTGCCGAGCTCAGAACTCTGCTAGGCCCCGTGCGGGGTCACGTCCTGCCGCTCCAGCTCTGACCTGGCCTTGCAGGCTATGCCTGCCCGTGCCTGGGACCACGTGGGTGTTCCCCAGTTAGGGATGAGGGGCAGGGAGGTCCCACTTGCCCCCTCCAGCCAGCTTCTCTGTGCCTTCCCAGGGACTGCGAGCACTGTGAATGCTCCAGGGACTCAGGTGTCTGCCTTAGGAATAGAAGGTACAGGGACCGGTGATCCTGTTTATACACCAAAAGCAGACTGTTCTGCAGGGAATGAAGACAAACACCACAAACAAAAGGGATTTCCACATGGAGTCTGCGGAGCCTTGCGGCTGGGGCCCTCACTGTCCCCTTCTGTCCCGTGTGGCTACATGCCTTCACTCTCTCCTCTGTCCCCCACAGTCGGACATCCTCGATCTGCCCGTTGCTGTCCCCTCTGTCCCCCATGCCTATCGCCCACGCTCACTGCTGAGGTGCTGACCCACTGAGCATGTGCCTATGAGCCAGAGAGTTAGTGTGCAGGGGAGGCCTCATCCCGCTGCGATGTGAGAGCCGCCCCCCATTGTGAGTGACGCTGCTTTCACTCTCCTCAAGCCCCTCAATAATGAACGAGCAGGGACTCATTCTGATCTCATGTCGGAAGGTGGCTGCCATCCACACCCGGGCACCCGGTGGACGGGAGTGGACAAAGTTCAGTCTCACGGGAAACAGCTCTGCAGAACCCCGGGGACGCCCAGCCGAGGTGCAGTTCTGGTTCTGGGGGCCAGGCTGCCCAGGCCCGTGGGAGCGTCTGGGGTGAGGAAGGGGTGCTGAGGCCCTGGCCCCTTCCTCCTCCCCCTGGCTCTGGCTCAGGCCTGTGTCCAGGCAGAGAGGAGCTCAGAGGCACAGGGGGGCTTTTCCCAGACACCTCCCTGAGACCCCCCCATGCCACTCAGCCGGGGGGGGGGGGATCTTGTTTGCAGACGAGAGTGGACGGCAACAGCCAGCTCGGACATCCCCGGTGGGCCTAGAGGGCACCCTGCCCAGAGAGCTGCGGGACACAGGCTGTCCATGTGTGGACGTCCCCTCTCGCTCAGTCCCTGGACTCAGCTCACACCCACCTTAGGGTCTTCCCTGCTCCTCCTTGCTAGCTTGTGAGGGTCTTGCTGGCCCCGGTGTTCCTCCGGGGGCCCCGTGGTGTCAGGCCGTGCCGGGTCACTCTGCACACCTGGAACCAAGCAGACGGCAGTCCAGTGACAATCTCACTGGGACACAGATCGCCAACATGGTGGAGGGAGTCACAAACGCAGAGGAGGGGCTGGGGGCTTGAGTACAATGCCTGCTTGGGTATGTGGTACCCAGAGTCCCCAGCCCATACCCTAGCTCCCGCCTCGTGGGCCACAGCCACAGTGTTTGTAGGGTTTGGGGCTTGAATGTGGGTTTGAAAAATTGCCTTCAAGTGAATTTATGGAGCATTGTAAGGAAACTGTCTGTGCAGCCCCTTTACACACCTGTACTCCATGGCGTGTGGAGACTCCTTGTCGGAAAGGAGCTGGGGCAGGGAATGGGGCTGAGGGACACCCACCCTCTGAGTCTTTACCCCTCACTTGCTTTTCATGGGCCTGGTTCCCCCTTGGTCCAGGTGAGAGCCCAGCAGGGTCTTGATGCCAGTTCTGGTGTCCCTGGGGACACAGCGAGTGGACAGCGAGTGGCTTCCTGCATGCAGTCACCCACCTACAGGCTCTGGTGGTAGACAGTGGTCATCTGGTCTGGCCACTGACCCTGAGATGAGCAGCTCAGCAATTTGAGCACTGGCGGACCCTTGTGCCCTAATTCCATCTGACAATAAGTGATTCCAGTGTCTCAGAATGACCTGCTTCCCCGACAAGGGGATCACATGCTGTTCTGTTCCCCTTCATGTGTGCTGACACGGGGTAACTGGCAGGCGTCAGCTATGAAAACACCACTTGGACAGTTGGCTGATGGGTGGTGGGAACACCCTCTGCAGGACAGTTGGCTAAATGTGATGTGTACACGCACAACACAGTGAGGTAATGGACGACAGGAACATCCTCTGTAGAGATGATTGGCTAAACCGTGACACAGCAACCTCTGCAGGGACAGCTAATGGGTGACGGGAACATCCTCTGCAAGGAAAATTGGCTAAAGGGTGAGGGGTACACCCAGAACAGCGAGTCAGGTAAGGGGAACACCCTCTGCAGGGATAGTTGGCTAAGGGGTGAGGAGAACACCATCTGCAGGGACGGTCGGCTAACAGGTGACAGGAATATCCTCTGCAGTCAGCTAATAATAGGTGACAAGAACACCATCTGCAGGGATGGTTGGCTAAAGGGTGATGGGTACACCCATTGCAGTGACAGCCAGTTAACGGGTGATGGGAACACCATTGCAAGAGCAGTTGGTTAATGGGTGACAGGAACACCCTCTGCAGTAAGTCAGCTGACGGAAACGCCCTCTACGATGAGTTGGCTGACAGGAACACCCTCTACAGTGACAGGCGACTGACGGGAACACCCTCTGCAGGGACAAGTTCCATACAGTATCTTGCCAACACCAAAGTCCTGCTAACTGGCAGGTAACGGGAAGGGGCTGTGGTCGGGGAGAGACAGGCACACTGGAGTCAGTTTCTCAGGGTCCCGTCCGTGGACACGGGTACACCCAGACCCACACGGCCGAGGGCTTGGGGCAGCAGCAGGTCGGATGATCCTCCCGGGGAGCCTGCAATACTCCCGGTAAGGCTCTCGAGGGTTCCTGTGCGGGGAGGCGGGCACCCATGGGGCCCATGGCCATGAGCCACTGCAGAGTGCAGCGGCAGTGCAGACCGACCCGGCCTCTGGGGGGGGTACATGGCTGTCCAGGACACTGCCCCTTCCCTTGGCACACACATGACCCAGAGGACTGGATGACACCCTCAACTCTCTGGGAAGCAGCCTCGGGAGAACACCCAATTGGGCCCCGCAGAGCTGGGACGCAGCAGACACGCCTTGCACGGAGGGGGAGCTTTAATGAAGGCACAGCTGGGTGGGCGTGGATGGGGGGGAGACCCCTGCCCCTGCACCCACAGAGGGGATACTGTCCAGGCCTCTCAGGCTGGGCGGCTCGTGGGGGGACTGGCTCTGAGTCACTGTGGCCCCGGGGCTCTTCCAGAGGCAGGAGAAATCGGAGGTCTCTAACACGCTCCTCCTCTCCCGCTTCGAGAGGCTTCTGCAGTGGCTGAGTGCCAGAGTGGCTGTGGACGGGGAGTCCAGAAGCTTCTCTGAGAGCCTCTCGTTCAGGTTGTCGGCAGAGAAGTAGTCATCGTAGGCGTCCCCGCGGTCGGGAGTGGGGGGCCGAGCCAGGGGGAATAGCTGGAGCCGGGGCGCGTGGGGCACCTTGGGGGGCCGGGCCCGCCCTGCGCTGCAGTCCCGACCGGCGGCTGCTGGGGAGGGAGCCCCCTTCTCATCTGGGGTGCCTTTGCCTGGGTCTGCCCACGCTGGTCCTTGCCGAGGGGTGCAGGGACGAAGGGGGGTGGCTGGTGCCATGATCCTCAGGGCCTCACCGCCGTCACTGCCACCCAGGCCTGCACAGAGACGTGCGGCGACGGGCTCGTCTGCAAGAGATGGGGGCTCGCCAGGGGCAGTACCCACTGCCCTCGGCCCCCCGCCCCAGACCAGACACAGGGGCCAGCAGCACCTCTGGGGCTCAGCTACCCACCCTTCTCCTGCCCTGGACCCCGTGGACAGGCCCTACCACACCCCAGAAGCGCCTCAAGGGTCCCTGGACATGCATCGGGCAGAGCTGGCCCTGTAGGGCTCTGGCAGCGGTGGGGAACCAAGAGCATCCTCCAGCCACAGGCCTGCTGAACCCCAGGCCGCATGACCTGCAGGCACCCCTAGTCTCTGGGGGCAGCCCAGGGGCCTGCGGAGACAGACTTGGGGAAAGGCAGGTGGCTAGGGCAGGACCACGGGAACCCGGGTCCCGGAGGAGATGGACAGACCCAGCCCTACCACACAGGAAGGGCAAGCCCGTGGGACCCACCGAGCTCGGCCACGAGCCAGGGGTCAGTGAGGGCAGACAGGGTTGGGGCGGAGCTGCGGGGTGCACCTTCTTGCTGTGGAAGAAGTCTCGTCAGGAGACCCGAGAAGAGCCCATGGTGCCCGAGAGTCTGACGGCACCACGGGAGAGGGGCTCACATACCCGGACACGCAGTGTCGCACGACAGGGCCAGACGGGCTTCTGCACACAGGGCGTCTTGGTGGCTGTCACTGCTATCACCGCTGTTGTGGCTGTGAGTCAGCTCGGCTCTCTGCGATGCTGGGACAGACCAGCAGGGTCAAGGAGCGCCCTCGGGCCAGACTCCCGCCCCGAGTAGGCGCACAGCACTCACAGGTGGGTGACAGGTTCTCCCGCCTCTCCTTCATCTCCCGCAGCCTCCTCTCCATGGAGTGGTGCTGGCGGCTCACGGCGGTCGTGGGGCTGTAAAGCAGCGCCCCACTGGACTCGAACATGAGAACAGGGTTGTCCTCTGGAATGGGCACAGAACCTTGAGGCTCCAAGAAGCCCCTCACCCCACACAGGCTCCCTCACCTCGCAGGCATGCCCCCACCTCACACAGGGTCCCCCACCTCACACGGGGTCCTCAGGGGGCTCCCACCCCGACACTGCCAGCTACTCCCCATAACCCAGCCACCTCCACTCCCAGGAAGCAGCACTTGGGCCCACAATGCCAGTCAAGGCCATGCGTGGACAGCAGTGGCCCCGGGCTGCCACAGTAGGCTGTGCCGCGCATCCCCTGCTCTACTTGTTCCCGGCTCTGCCCGGAGTGGGAGGGACACCGAGGGTCTCCTGCCCATGGAGCTCTCTGAAGGCTGCAGCACCCACACATGTCCACACAGGCGATGCCAAGGCCCCGTGTTAGGCGAGCGGCGGGCACGCATGGGAACGGAGGACTGTGGGTGCCTCACCCAGCATCGTCTTCTGCCTCTGCAGCTCCCGCGCCATCCTCTCCATCTTCTTCCTCAGCCTCTTGTCGTTTTCTGGCGTTTTGGGAGTGAAGTCTTTGGGCTGCATGCACTTACGCTGCACAGACACAAGGAGTTAGGGGGCTGCACTGGGAGACGTGGGGGCCTTCCACGGGCATGGCCTCCTGCACTGACTGCCATGGAACCTTCTGGAAGAGGCCAGATGACAGCACGGAGCCCGGGCCGGGCAGGGAGCCCCTGGCAGTGCCTGCACACACCGGCTCCCACGCCCCGACTCTGACCATGTTCAGGTCCCCTCCTGCCTGCACCCACCCCCAACCCACCCAGGGGTCGGGGGAGCCAGCCGCATGTGGCTGGATGGTTACCACCCAGGGTCTCCCATGGGGAGGCGAGGCCAAGTCTGAGGCCCCAGCACAACTCACCTTCCTCTCTGGCAGGTTGGGAACGCGGCTGTGGGTATTGGCGGCGGGGAACAGGGCCTCGTCCACGTGCTCCCCCGCCATCCGGCACCTGCAGGAAGAGCCAGCCATGAGCAACAACCCGGGCCATACGTGGGAGGGCAGGACAGGCGCAGGGAAAGCCCAGGCGCGGAACTCTGCTCCGACTCGGGCGCTGGCCAGTGCACCATGGCCCCCCCAAGCTGCATGTGGCCCACATTCTGTCCAGCCCCAGAGGGCCACGTCGCTGAGGGCAACATGGCAGAGACCAGAACTACCGCTGGTGCGAAGGGTGAGCAGCTGCTGAGCTTCTGCCCTGGCCAGCACCAAGGGGGCGGGACCCAGAGCAGGACCCCCCCACCAGTGGTCACTAAGATGAGCTGCCTGGCTCCCCCTACGGCACAGGGCAGACACTGGGCGGGGACAGCTCTTTCACAGCTTGGCCCTCACCAAGCTGGCCCTTGGAGGGGCTCAGTTGTCCCTAGGAAAGGCACCTGAGTGCTGACCTCTCCCTGGGACAGGCAGCACCTGGGGAAGCAGCTCACCCTCACATGGGCTGGCCACAGACTGCAGGGACTGGCCCTGGTGGTGGGGGCGGGGCAGTCCACTGGGTGCCACAGGGCTATGCCCAGTCTGGAGGATGGGGCAGCAGGGCCTGGAGATGGGGCCGGGGCCACTGATAGGGACCCAGGGCGGCCCGCAGAGACAGGAGCGAGCATCACGGTCCCTGCCCCAGGACATACCCACTGGTGTCCAGCAGGCCAGCGGCTGCCATCTGGCGCCACCCTGTGGCCATCCATCAGACAGACAGTGGAGGACGGCGGGCACAGGAATCAAGGTGAACGTTTCCATCTGCAATGAGTCCCCAAAGGCCCCCAGACGGAAAGAAGACTCAACTCAAGACGACACAGTGAGGTCTAAGGCATTGCAAAAACTTCATGACCTCAGATAGATGTTAAGTTGTTTGCTGCATGAACAGCAAACCTGCACATGTAGACGTGCAAGACAAAATCAGTTCTCTCATGCCACCAACGAGCAACCCAAGACTGAACAGGGAAAAGGCATCTCCTGGCACCTTCAGTGCCCTGAGACGTGCTGCGGGTGTGGCCCTAGGGAGAACCAAAACCCATAAACCGAAACTGAGAGAACGTCCACACCAGCACCCAAAGAAACAGCAAGTCACCAAGAGAACGCAGCCCTAAGAACATCAGAACTCAGCCCGGGAAGGTGGGCCAGGATGGAGGCCACAGTGCTGGAGGGGGCCGTGATGGACCCCAGAACCTCCCTGAGCAGTAGCAGGAGAGGGAGTCTTGGTGGCCCCCAGAATCACTGGGCTGTTAGGCCAGAGCGCTAGATAGGACAGTGGACAGGTTACTTGTCTTGCACATGGCCAACCCAAGTTTGATCACTGGCATATCATATGGTCCCGACTTTGCCAGGAGTGACCTGAGCACCACGGGTGTGGCCCCAAACCAACCAAACCATCACCAAGGCAAGCCGTGACCCTCACTCAGGCTGACGGAGACGGGAACCGCGGGCGTGGCAAGCAGGAACACGCTGCAGTCAGACAGCCAGCTCCCCGACCGCAGAGGGCCAAACACTTGTTCCGTGACCCCAGGGAAAAGGTAAGGGGGCGGTTAGAACCGAGCACCTTGCAAAGGCCCAGCAGGGCCAGGCTGGCGGAGAGGAGATTGGACAGATAGCCCACAGGAGCCCGCAGGGGGCCCTCGCTCGCTCCCAGCGGCCAGAGTGGGAAGGAGGAGATGGCTCACGTGCTGGCCAGTGAGGGGCCACGCAAAGCCCCGCAGCAACACCCTGGAGGGAGAGAGAGCAAGAACCATGACACAGGGAGGACAGAGAGGGGTGGGTGTGTGTCCGATTCCCACAGGCACGTGGAAGACAGCAACACGCAAGGCAAGCCTCAGGGGCGAGGTGCGAAACTGCTCCAAAGTTTATTAAAGGCTCGAAGGCGGGTGTTCGGGCTTGGGAAGTGGGGGGGAATGAGGTGGACAAGCTGGAGACAGTGTGGTGATAGGCTGAGGGAGTGCAGTGGACGGACTAGGGACAGTGTGGTGATGGGCTGGGGACAGTGCGCTGGACGGGTTTTAGTGCGGGCTGTGTGCAGGAGGCTGACACCCACTACTGCGTGTCCCAGGAGGAGCCCCGAGCCAGAGTGGGAAGATGGGCAACACTCAGGCAGCCTGGAAGCCGCCCCAGCAGGCCAGGAGCTGCCATGCCGACCCGGCACCTTCCCGGGCACCTCATGACACATGCCAGCCACCTGTCCAGGCACAGAGGGTCAGGGGCCTTCCAGAATCAGTTCTTGGCCTCACCTGCCACTGCCACGTACCCTCCAGCATCTCAGCTCCACAGAGACCAGGGGCTGTTCCACCCCCGCCCCCCCACTGCCTCCGAACACTTGGGGTACGTGTGGGCAGAGCCATGGATGGGGGCCCGGGCAACCCCAGAGTCCGCTTGACGCCCCACTCAACCCGTCCTGCCCACCAGCCGTCCCGGGGCACCTAGAGGCACTTCCCACCTGCTTCCCACTCTGCACCAACATTCTCCACCCGAGCAGGCTGCCCTTCCTGCAACCCCTCCCTCACACCTTCTGGACAGCAAAATCCAGAGTGAGCAAGGAGGGGTCTCGCCCCGAGCTGCAGGCTGCGCCCGGCTCAGCCTCTGTGGAAACCAGTATGGAGGTTCCTAAAAAGACATGGAAGACTGGGGGCCATGCACTAGGACAGCTGCCAGGACACCTGCCCGCAAACAGCCAACCAGGTCGGATCCCTGCTCTGCAGCCCTGGGCCTGCTAGGAGGGAGCCCAGAGCACAGAGCCAGGAGTCAGCCTCGAGCAGAGCCAGGAATGACTCTGAGCACAGAGCCAGGGGTGAATCCTGAGCACAGAACTGGGACTCAGCCCCAAGCACAGAGCCAGGAGTGAGCCCTTTCCAACATTGGTTTTGGCCCCAAACCAAGTAAAGACTGCGGGCTGCCCTCCTCAGCACCTGCCCAGCACACATGTGGCTCTGAACAGGCTCACGCACAGTGCTCACTGCAGCTCTGGCTCATCTTGGAAACAACCAGGAACCCAGCAAGGGAAGGATGAAGAAAGGGGGTAAGGGGGACCTACAACCCGGGTGGGCCTGGAGGGGGCAGCTGAGCACTGAGTGAGGAGCACACACAGCCTGTCTCTCGGGACGAGGAAGGCCAGGATGCAGTGCGGGAGCAGCAGCCGAGTCGGAGCAGTCGGCCCACACTGCAGGTTCTGGCACATGCGGGGGTGGGTCACAGATGGAAGAGTGACTACAGACCACACCCATTCCAGAGCAACCAGACCCGGGAGAGGCACTGGTCCCTTCCACAAGACCAGGCCAGCAGCCTGGTGGACGCGGGCAGGGCAGGAGGTGATGGAGGCCATGTCCAGGGGTGAACCCAGTTGGTGACTGGCCCAGAACGGGCAGCACAGGCACCACTCACCTGTCCACCCAGAGCACAGAGACCAGCTTCGCGCCCAGCTGTTGCGCCTTGTCCCAGGTGCTCTGGTAGCCGTCTTTGAAGACCACATGCGTCACGCGCTTGCTGAGCTTCCTGGAAATCTGCAAAGAGAACATACGGAGTCACCGCCGCTCCCTCCTGAGACTCCAGCCATGCATGACACGCCTGGCACCTGCAGGACACGGGTGGGGGCCTGGAGGAACAGTGCGGCAGGGGTGTCTCTGGACAGGCTCGGGCTCAATTCCCACCAGGAGCGAGCCCTGGGCAAGACTCAAGGGAATGAAAGAAACCAATGAAAAGTCAAGCCAGCCACTCGGAGGAGAGGAGTCATGACCCCGATGTCTGGACACAGGTGACTATTTCCTCTTGTCATCTGCAGTTCCAAAAGGACCTTTAAAGAGGGACTGCTCAGAGTCGCAGCAAACAAGAGTGAAGGAAACAAAATGGCCCTGAAACAAGAGGTTCAGCCCTGGACACATGGCGTCTGTTCCCACTTGGCTGCCACCAGCCTGACCCCACAGCCCCACTGGCGTTCCCAGAGCTCTCCACATGCTCGGACATGGGCATGGCTCAGTGGCGATCCCAGCGCAGGGTCTGTTTGCTTCAGGAGCACCAGGGGTCTGAATGCCGAGTTTCTGGAAAGGGGGCATGGGGCGAGTGAGTTCAGGAGGCCCTGGAAGTCACAGATTTCAACACGGCCCAGCATGGTGAGGCGCGCTGAGGACAGTGTCCACTGCCAGGGGAGGACACCAAGGCTAACAGACGCTCCCGGGGATGACAGACGTAGCCGCTGCGTCACACCAGGGACAGAGCCAGGTCCCAGAAGCACCGGGTGACGGCATTCCAGGAAACAGCACGGTGCGGGCGCGAGCTCGGAAGCCAGGACACAGAGCCAGCCGCTGCCCAGGCAGACACGCACGCTCCCTCCCAGCCAGCGACAAAGCCACGGCGCTCAGCTCATGAGGAAAGTGCCAGATGCTGGAGCCGGTTACCACAGGGGCCCAGGGCACAGCCGCAGCTAGAGATGCTTGGGATGGGCTGCAAGCAGGCAGGAGAACGTCCTGACTCGGCCCTGTGGGAGCTGTTGAGAGGCGCCACTGCCCCGCGTGGCCGTCCTGCCGTCAAGGCTGAGAGAGGCACTGAAGGGTAACATTGGTTTGTCCTTTCTCCCTTATCACAGAGAGCTTAGGTTTATCGGTAACACCCATCACAACTCTCATTCCTGTTTATTTGTAGACTCTTCTCTGTGCTCTCCTCCCCTGCCAGTTAATCACCTTTTTCCCTAATCAGATAAGATCAGATCCTTTTAGGACACTGAACTTGTATTGTAAGTTAAATATTGCTTTTCTCAGTCTTTTGCATAGTTTACCTTAAAGCAATGTGCTTTCTGTACAGACAAAGGAAGACAGTTAATACTATGCTTTGTAACTTGGGAGCTGACTGACTCAGAATAATATTTATTCCCGGGTATCTGCTTTCTTGACTCAGTTGCCCTTAGTTCCTAGCACCTCAAAAGCAGGGTCCCAACGAGGGACTGAATGGACCCAGGGCAAGCTGTGAGCTACCCTGGCATTGAAATGGGCCAGGTCAAAGTGTCACGATACTCAACTCTAAGTTGAGGGCATGATCATGGACAAATGCTGTCGTGATCCAAAAGTACTGTGACGACGAGACTAGGACCCTGCTAGGGTTAAGAAGATTAACCTGGCCTGAGGACTGTGGTCTACAAACAAACATATATATAATATATATATGGAATATATAGTGGGATGTCCTCAGGAAGAACCAAACCTTAAGTTTACACCTCTTACTGTGCTCATACAGAATGACATTGCTAGAAATATTAGAAGTAGATTTACTACAACTATTTAAGTAGATTACTAGCTGAGGAAAGAACACACCCTCATTGGGATTCCACCTTTGAGCTGATCTCCTAGTAATCTAGAGTAATCTCTTTAGATGAGATTTTATCCTTGAGCTAATTCCCTGGAGGAGAGGTCTTACGCCTCTTTGCTGATTTGTTAATGTTCAATCCACCTTTGTGTAACCACCCTATATAAACTAAGACTGTAAGATCGTGATTGCTATATAAACTAAGACTGTAAGATCGGAGGGGGCTCGGGCTCCAGAGAGCAGAGTCAGATCCAGAGGCCGGAAAGAGAATGAGGGGGAAGCAAGAAGGAGAATGAAAGGGGGCTCGGGCTCGAGAGAGAGAGAAGCAGAAGGGGCGTGGGGTTTGGAATAAACTACAATTGATAAGTGACCAGCCTGGCCTTCGTTCCTTCCTTCGCCTGCCCATCACCAATGGCCTCCCCAGGATGGGGGAAGCGGCCCGAGACCACCAAACGCAGGCAGCAAGAGAGAGATAGAGCACCGCCGGCCTTTTGAAAACACACAAGGCACAGCACAGACAAGGGAAGAAACCCAGAGACGCGGCGGGAAGGGCCGTGCTCAGCCCCCAAGCCTCCAGGGATGAGAGGAAACAGGGAGACAGGGCAGACCCCGGACTGCCTGTCAGGCCTTCTGCCTCGAGTGACTGCCCACAACCCAAAGCCTCACCCCTGCACTCCCCTCCACAGGGTTTGTTTGGTTCTAGGCTTCTGGTTCACACCCAGCAATGCTCAGGGTGACTCCTGGCTCTGTGCTCAGGCTAACTCATGGCTGTTCTCAGGGTCACCTCTGTGATGTCGGGACTGGAACCTGGGTAGACGGCACCCAAGGCAAGCACCCAACACCCTGTCCTCTGTCCAGCCCAGACCCTCTGCCTCACCTTGCTGCCTGTCACCCGGAAGCTTCTCGGGGCCTCCTCCTGAGTCCCAATCCCGGTTCCCTGCCCGGGGCTCTGGCAGGGACTCAAGGGTGCAGTGGGCATCAGGCAGTCTGCCTGGTTTCCCTGTGGACACCCGGTGCTGTCTTGGCCCAGGCCCGCCTGAGCCCCTGCGAGTCTCTGGGCCACACACGGTGGCTGCCCCAAGCTGACACTAATGTGAACCCAGTTCAGGTGTGCGTGGGGGCTTCTGATCAGGCTCACTGTGGAGCACAGTTCTCAGGTGTGCTTCGCCCGGGAGGCCCCCTGCGCTGCCCCCACTGTGGCAGCCTCGGGGGCGGAGGGGGGGGGGTGTCTGAAGCCAAGCTCAGACTCTCCCCGGACTCTGGAACCCCCCAGCTGCCTCCTCCAGACTCCCCCGGGGCCAAGTAACCAGGGCTGAGCGGGCGTCCTTCCCCTCCCCAACTCCGGTCCCTGTGCCCCCACCGGCTCCTTCTCAGCTCCTTCCTTCCCTCCTCTCTCCAAGCCCCCAGAGGAGCCGGTGCAGACAAGTCAAGAGTGAGGGGAACGGACTCACCTGTGCCCCCATCTGCACAAGCTGGTCCGTGAAGGTCCTGGAGTAGTTTTCTGTTCCATTGGCCGACCACACTTCCACGTATGCCACGACTCCTGAGAGCAAACCAGGGCGTGAGTGGGGGCTGCAGGGCGGGCGGGGCAGGAGGGCAGGAGGGCAGGGCTGGCAGGGCTGGCCGGGCTCCCCCTGATCCCCCCCTCCTGCACTGACACTATCTAAGTGGAGACCCCGTCTAAAAGCCTGTTTGTGGCTCTGGCCAGCCAGCAGCGACGTGGGGCCTCTGCGGTGGGCCATGCCAGGCCCCCTCCCCAGGCGGGGGAGCCCCTTCCCGGTGGGGAGCAGAGCCCACCCGAGGCCCCACGCCGGGGCGACACGCTCTCCTCGCCTCCTACCCACTGCAGACCCCGCAGACCCCTGCGGCCGGCCACCGTGGCAGGGCCCGACCCCCGCCGGCCTGACTCAGTGTCCGCGCCCACCCAGCGGGCACGGGCTGCCCTGACCGCGGCCCAGCCCCCCTGGCCCCGGGACCTGGGGACGCCTGCACGTGCGGGGACGGCGATCTCGGGGCTGCCCCGACCCCGGCCGGCCTGGCTCAGTGTCCGCGCCCACCCAGCGGGCACGGGGGTGCCCTGACCGCGGCCCAGAGCCCCTGACCCCGGGACCCGGGGACGGCGATCAGGGGGCAGCCCCGACCCTGAAGGTGGTCGGTCCCCGCGCTCACCTGGGGAGCAGGACACCCCCGCCCCGGGTCAGGAACCCACCCTGGGACCAGGAACCCCCGCTCGCCTCACCGTCCAGAACGGGGCCCACGGCGTTGCCGGGGGCCGCCATGGGGCCGACGGCCGGAAACCGCCGCTCGCGCGCGCCGCGAGAATTTGGACGGGCGCCCAACTGCGCACGCGCGCGGAGGCCCCGCCCCTAGGGCCCGCCCTCAGGCCCCGCCCCTCTCCGGCTCCGACCCGCCTCGTCCAGGCTCCGACTCCGCCCGTCAAGCAAGGCTCCGCCCCTCGCCCCGCCCCTCCCGGCACCCAAGGCTCCGCCCCTCCCAGACTCCGCCCCGCCCCGCCCTCGCTCGGACGCACCTCCCAGGCCCCGCCCCTCTCCGCCCAGGCCCCGCCCCGCCCTCTCAGGTCCCGCCCACCCCGCGGCCCCGCCCCGCTCTCCCGCCGGGACTGCCACCTTCCCGCCCTGGAATTCCAGGGGGCGTTTCCGCTGCCGAGTCTCTTCTGGGTGCCGCTGGAGCTGGTGTTTGCTCCCCAGCTCCTGCTCCCCAGCTTCCCACATTCTCTGCCTCCAGCGCCACAAACGTTTTCTCCCGCGATTCCTTATAGAAACGTTGCAGTTTTCGGATTTAGGAAGGTCCAGGCTCCGGTTTGGATTAATTCCGGTGCCCAGTATGAGGAAGGGACCAAAGCCCATAGTTTGCATCTAGAAACCAGGTACTTTTTGCTAAAAAGTTCATATATATGCATATATATGTATATATATATACATATATTTCCCCACTGTGCTGCACCATGAGCCTGTGTCCCCACCCACTGCTGCTGGGGGAGCCAACCCAAGGGTGGGTCAGCCTGTTGGCCAGGGCCTGAGCTGGGGAGCACCGGGGATAGGGCTGGAGCCCCTTCCTTAGAAGAGGGCCAGGGGAGGAGCTGTTTCCAGAGAAGGCTGTTTCCAAACCACTCTCTGTGGGCAAGGCAGGCGGGTCTCCTTATCTCCCCGTCCAGGCTTCTGGGGACGAACCGGGTGAGAGAACATTCCTGCCAGAAAGGCTGCTGGCGGCCGCTCCTCACCCCACTGGACATGTTTTGGCTCCACGTTTTTAGGACCATTGTTGTGGATGTGTGGGCTGGAGTTCCTGTCCAGCGACTCAGGGGTCCACACGCCAACATGAGCCAGTTCCATTGCTGGAACTCACAACAGTGCTGTGGGCACCAGCTTGAAGAAGCAAAGACCTGGGCCCCTGCTAACTGGGCGGGCCACTGCTTCTCTCCCGTCTTTCCCAAGCTCACAGCCTCATCCGCCAGCGGCTTCACATCACTTCACCCCTGGCAGGTTGTGACCTTCCTGTGCAAGGGACTCTGGGCTCTGCCTCCACAAAGAGAGTCTGGGGTCCCGACACCCTGAAGGGGCACCCTAGGGCGAAGACATCCTTCCTCAGGCCTGGGGGACTCCAACAGGACCCTGAAGGCGGCACTACCCCGTGTCACAGCAGGGCTGGGTGACCCTTGGCTGGCTGAGCGGCTTCCTCCTCTGCCTGACAGGCCTGGGCGGAGGGTTCCCTAGTCACCTCAGGTCAGTCTGAGGTGGAAGAGAAGACTCCTGCTTCCCTCCACACAAGTGAGATCCCTACGGGGAACACTGTGCGCAGGCATGGGAGGAGAAAGGGCGAAAGACACTTCTAAGAACTCAGGGAGAGACATGATCACACTGGTGACATGGAGAAGCATGGACATGTCGGCCCAGCTAAAGGGGCAGCGGAGGAACCTGGGAGGCCCAGCGGAGCTAGGGAGTGGGGGGAGGGGACCCACGGGCATGCGTGAGTGCGGGGCACGTGGATTTCTTGCTTCAGCTATGGGGCTGTGCAGGGGCCAAGGCACCCCTGTGTAGCTGTGTGGGGGGGCTGGAGAATGGACATGCTGCTGGGTTCAGGCTCCACACAGGCCAGCAGCTGCAGAGGTCTCGCCCAGGGGCCACCTGGACCTGGAGCCCAGCCATGGGCCACAGTAACGGAGGTGGGACCTTGTAGCAAATGGGAAAACTAATGTTCTCCAGTGACTCTTCTAGAATGTTATTCTAGAAGCATCATAAACCCAATGAACTCAACCATGGGTTCAAACAAGAGATGAGCTGAACAGAAATGCTTCCCCCTCAGCCATCTGTGTGAGAGACACAACTGGACTCAGCTTCTCCTTATTTCTACTGGAACCTGCAGAGGCAACCCCACACAGATTGACACTGGTGGCCCCAGTGTGAGTTGAGCAGATAAAAAACTGGTGAGGTCGCCACTACAGCAAACGCAAGCCTTAAAACATATGTTACCAGGGCTGGAGCGATAGCACAGCAGGTAGGGTGTTTGCGTTGCATGTGGCTGACCCGGGTTCGATTCCCAGCATCCCATATGGTCCCCCGAGCACTGCTAGTAGTAATTCCTGAGTGCATGAGCTAGGAGTAACCCCTGTGCAATGCTGGGTGTGACCCAAAAAGAAAAAAAAAGCTACTATTTCCAAAGATCAGAGCAGCTGTCATTTAAAGTGGAAAATGTGGAGAACACGGAGTGGCTGGTAGGGGCAGTGGGCAGTGCTAGAGTGGGCATTAGCACAGTGGGCGCAGGCTCGCGTCAGACCCTCCTTCCTCCTAAGGCTGAGTGTGAGCCATTGTGTGGACTGAGCCAGGGTGCTGCAACTCAACCCTCCAGTGCCACCTGCCTTGCTTCTGGTGGCCGTGGACACAGATGTAAAACCATCTCCCCCAAACCTGGCTGCTGATGACTCGTGACTGAAACCCTGAACCGGAATTGCCAGCTGGAAAGTCGTCACCTCTTATTTAAGAAATCCGTTTTAAAGGACGCGTCATACCTGTGCACCCCCAGCAGAGCAGAAGGCCCTCCGGGGAACACGTCCATGTCAGCTGGACCCACTCGGGTTCGGAGAGGCGTTCTGGAGCCCTGGGTTTCTTTCCCTTGGCACCTGGAACTCGGGGACGTGACAACACCTAGGGAGCAAGCGAGCACAGGAAGGGAATGAAGGAAGGGTGCGGCAGGAGGGTGTGTTTGACCCCAGCCCCGAAGAAGAGAAAATGATGAAATGGATTGTGGGAGGAAGACAGAAGGGCTTGTGTGCAGCAAGAGGAAGTGACAGGACCCTGGACACGGGCACGAAAGGGATGTCTGCGCCCATTCTGCCCTGTGCGTGCTCTGGCAGGAGGTTTGGCTTCAAGCCCCGGCACCCGTGGTCTCCGAAACACCATGGAGTAACCCAGGGCCACAGCCAGGAGCAGCACCAGAGCTCTGCTGGGTGTGACCCACACGGTTGTTTTTTTAACATTCCTCTTGATACAGAGACTGGATTGAAAGTTAATGAAGGGGTTTTATGTAGCACCTTCTGGCTGTTGTTGCTTTGGGGACACACAGAGCAGAACTCAGGGCTCACTCCTGGCAGTGCTTGAGGGAGCAGATGGGGTGCTGGGTATGGAACCTAGTCAGCTGTGTGCAAAACTGGTGCCCTGCCCACTGCACCAGGCCCCCGACCCCCTCCCAGACTCAGCTCTGCTCAGGGCTTGGCTTCCATCCAGGTGACAGCTCTTTCCTTTCACGATACTGAACATGCCACCATACTTGGTTCCTTTTATTTACTTATTTGGCTCCTTTCTGTAAAATCCTGTCGATTTTTATTCCAGTATTCCCTGAGAGACAGCTTTATTTGTTCTTTAGGCTCGACTTCCTTCAGCTCCGTGAACACACTGAGAACAGTGGGTCAAATGTTAGTCTAGTGCGTCCATCCCCAGCAGGAATAACTTCCACCGAGGGCTTTCATCTTGTGTTACTAACATACATCTCTGTGTGTATATATATATATGCGCGTGTATATATGCATGTCATATATGTGTGTGTATATATATACACATATGCATGTAAATGTCCATTTTGCAGCCGCACCTGGTGGTGCTCAGGGCTCCCTCCTGGCTCTGGACTCAGGGCTCGCTCTTGGCGGAGCTCAGGGGACCTGTGGGGTGCCAGGGGTTGTGAGCCAGGCATGCGGCTGCCCACTGTGCTGTATTCCACCATATTTTCTCTCTGTCTCACCTTTCCTCTGAAACCCCAGTTCTGTCATGTGGTTCTGCAGAAGTGAAACTCTGCCCTCCCAGCCTTCGCAACCCCAGAGCTGATTATAGTGGTAGAGGAGCAGTTGATTTGCTTAGCAGTTTTCCTGAGTTGTAATAAATGTACTTTCCTTTGGGTTAGTTTTTAGCCCACTCTTGGGGGTTCTCAGGGCTAACTCCTGTCTGCGTTCAGGACTCCCTCCTGGCAGTGCTCCGGAAACCCTCTTCAGTTCTGGGGAAGGTAGGCAAGTGCCCTCCCCCGGACAAGTTCTCTACCCCCTCCCATGGATTATTACATTTTTTTGCCCCTAAAACCACACTAGCTTTGCGGCCAGAGGTTTCTTTCAGCTGTGGTTTCATGTCAGGTTCAGTTCCCAGACCCCCACTAGGTCCCACAAACACTAGCAGGAGTGACCCCTGAGCACAGGAATTGAACTAGAGCAGCCTCCGTCTGCCAGAGGAGAGAGCACATGGCAAGGAGGCCCCAGCACTTGCAGGACACTGGACATTCCTCCTCCCCCAGACCCTGGGGTCCTGGGTCTGCCTGGCCTTCCGCATCCCCGAGGATTCTGTCATTCCCACATTTCCTGCCGCATAATCTTGATCAGCTTTTTGATCACATCAATTTTGTAACAGCATGCTTATAATTCTTTTTTTTTTGGACAGATGCTCCGGAGAAAACATTATTTTCTAAGCAAGGTAAAATAAAGAGAAACCGTGAAAAGGAATTTTTAGGGGACATTCTCACAGATTCAAACACACACACACACACACACACACACACACACACACACATACACAGAGTAGCTCCTGCTCAGGGCCTGGGGAACCCACGCCCCCTTCCCTCACAGAGATGAACGCTGATCGGCTTTCTGGGTTGCTGGGGCTGGGCCAGGCCGGGCACAGCTTGCGATGTCTGTTATTGCAGAGCTGACCCTCTCCAGCTGCTAGTGACTGTCTGCTGAGGACACTGACTCTGATCCTGAGTGCCAGAGTTTCGTGTGCAGAGCAACCCTGGAGGCCACTGGCTCGCCGCCTTGCCTGTAGCTGCTTTGAGCGGTTTCCTGACTCAGCCCT